AAAACCTCTGTGAGAATATGTTTTTGCACTTGTAACCCTATTATAACTTTTACGATAACCGGCGATTTGATGCAACTCACCCTAAGTCTTGTATCTCACAAAATAAAATGTATGGATAATAATAAATGTATGTACGTAAACAGACTGATATTAGAAAACGAAATTAAGAAATTGTAACGGTGGGTAGTAACTTTTTTATTGGCCGGGTTTTATAGTAGTTAAAAATATATCGAAAATGGTTACAAATGCTGCATTGCATGGAACCATGATAATTTTGAGTGAATATTTAAATGCTGCTGGAAAAATAGTATCATACTGATGTCCACTGCGCAAATGTAAGAGTAATAAATTTAGTAAAAATTGAAAAGTTATTTTTTAGGTTTAGTAAAATAAAGCATTATTAATGCTATTAAAGCATATCAATTGTTTTAAATACGAACACTGGTCTAGAATATCATAAACATATTTTAAAAATTTTATATTATCGTCATATTTTTGGTTCTCTCCTATTAAATTAAACTAAACGCCTGACACTTTTTAATACTAAATTGTATTTCTTACAACTTTAACTATTATAAGAAGAAATAAAATACTCAGGTTAATTTTGCTTGTTAACTCATACGATTATAATTTTAAATACAAACCTGAAGCATCTTCTTTTACATTATTTTATGTCTGTTTTGTTGAAATTAGATATGAATAAATTCAAATCCGTCCAGACATAAATTATAGAATCCTAGTAAAAGAATCCATTGTTTTAAGGATTCCAATATGCAGTTATTTTACCATGTCATTTCAATAATAAAATTTTATGTATTCATTTATAAACAAACATAAAAATAATTAAAACACAGACAGATGAGATCGTAAGCTATGAAAATAGATTGCTTGTAACTTCAGTGACGTTGTTATTTTTAATGGCATAATGTTTCGTTTCTGCGAATACAAAAGTAAACGTTTCAAATACAGATTATAATTTTTAGTTCGTACATATCCAAGTGTTATAAATGTAGAACAAAAACACTATGTAACATATTATGTAAATATACTAATAATTTTGACCTAAACTTGGTAATGAAAGTTTTGTGAGATTATGCAAAACTATTGAGAAACCAATGATTACAGTACACTCTAAGTTAATGTATATTAACTTTAAAACGTATAACAGTAGTGAAGAATAATCGCATTTTGTAAGCAGGAAATAACATTGAAAATAGCTAATAGTAGACAATGATAATTTTGATGCTTCATTTCATTTCGTTTTTCTCTAATTCAGAGCATTTTATGATACTTTAAGTTTATTAGTAGTCTAAAATTGTTAAAATTGTTTTATGAAATATGTATACTTGAATAGAGATATTTCAGTAGACTTCAAGTAACCGTTATAATTGAGATAGCGAAGAAAATTTATGCAAATGTATACTTTAAATCTGTTATCATTTTGGTATACTTTTTTCGGTGTTAATTAAGATAGTTCTAAGTAGAATTGATGTCATCGAATTTAAACAATTTTAGAAATTGTTGTTGAAATTTTGTAGATTAAACAACATTATAAATATGTATTTCGTTGTTATAGGTGTTATTTAATTATAGGTTTAGTATTAAGGGAAATTAATTACAAGTCAAGAGACGAATCAAATGTAGCCATCAATTACAACTTAATTTTAATGTTTAGGATAGGAATGTTATCTTTATATATGTATAACTCGGAAATAAAAAAGAGTTGAAAAATTTATTACGTTTTAATCATTGCCCAAATTACTAAAATTATTTCGCATGTATTACACCCTGCATTTTAACAAACTATATCTTACTAATATTATAAATGCGAAAGTTTGGATAGATGGATGGATGGATAGATGGATGTTTGTTAGAGTTTGCAGCCCAAACGGCTGATCAGATCTCGATGAAATTTGGCATAAGTGTAGAGAATAGTCTAGAACTTACTTTTGTTTTTTTTTAATTCCACGCAGACGGAGTCGCGGGCGAAAGCTCGTATGACTCATAAAGGAGGTACACAAAGTAACAAATACAAAAAGGAAAGCGGTGTACATATTAAGCTTAACTTTGTCAGAGTTCTAATATAGCTAACCATTCTTTAGTGTGAGGCTATATAGTTAGTATATTAAACAGGTATATACGTAAAAGTACATAATCTAATGTATACTATTATAATAAAGCGTACACACATACTTCTTTGGTACCTAAGATATGAGCAATTACAGCATATTTTTGAATAATCCTTTTTTTAATAAAAGCACTACACTTGAGTCACGCTTTAGGATATATATTTTAACGCCATTAAATTTAGAGGGTAAATATTTTGGATAAAAACCCTAATGTGGGAAAAAGACCCTAAGTCGGCCCCAACATCAAGGAAGCAAGGTTGTCATCATGTCATGTCATTTTGACATTTGTAATTGTTGATTTGACAAATGTAAACAATAAAACAAAATTTTCATAATTCATGCGCGATAAAGTCGCACGGGAACAGCTAGTTTATAAATAAGTTCGGTTTTGCCAGTCACCTCCGATGGTACAATTGGAGATAGCAAGGTTCGTCATTGACGGATTAAGAGAAGACATCATCATCGTATAATATTTAAGATAAGTATAATTTATTGCTTTCTAACAACTGAGTAGATTTATAGATAACAGTCTAAACGCGAGATAAAAGAAATTTGACAAGGTCACTACTACCTACCTACCTAATGGTAGGAAACTCTACTCGTCCAAAAAATGAAACGAAACGGATTGACTAAATGATTTTCTAATCTCCTCATCTAAATTTTCGCTGTACAGAAACGTTTAATTACTACGTACAATACTCAGTAATCGACTGAATTACTAGCCTGGCGTCACACGTGCTGTAAACGGTTGAACCAACGTTGACGAGTGAAATTAATCATACTAATACTAATATTGTAAATGCGAAAGTATAGATGGATGGATGTTTGTTAGAGTTTGTAGCCTAAATGACTGGACATATTTCTATGAAATTTGGTATAGATTTAGAGGATATTCTGGAAGAACACATAAGATAGTTACTTGCTTTTGTTTTTTATTAATTCCACGCGGACGGAGAGACGGCGAAAGCTAGTAGAATAATGTTAGTTAGTCGACCTAATTGATTTTAACACCAACTTATTTTTTTTTATATGTTAATGTAACGATGCTATTGAAAATCTATTTTAATTAAAACTAAATGTTGTATAAGTCCTTTAAATGAAAAGACTTTTTCTTATTTGTTGCCTGTTCCGTGACATGCCATTCTTAGGCCCTTTGTTATGCAAATAGTCGGACGAAAACAATTTATATGTTAATTTATTTATGGCAGCTTTGAATTGCGTTTTACGATATTTTATCTGTACCTTGTAATGTACTATATTTTCCACGGAAACAAAATTATATTCGATTTGTTTTTATCGTGGACAAAACAAAGGGAATTCTTGCAGCCAAAGAGAACTCCGAGTTAATTAGGCGTTAAACAGTCAAACAGTTAATGTTCATTTTTAAATTTATGCAAAAAAGCCAACTTTAACAATGACGTATTAATTATTTCCTTACTTTAACGTTCTGGTATATAGAGAAAAAAGTGAAAACTAATATTATATCAACTAAGTTAGCAGCTTGCGAGATTTAAGCTCTCTGCCAATAAAATTGTTTTATAAAAAGTTTTATCAGACAAACGTTTAGCGGATAGCTTTTATATATTTCGACTTTTAGTTTACAAGTTTTT